AGCAACTTCGCTTTCATTAATTTGCACCTGCTTCAGCAAATGTAAACACCGCGTTACTGACATGGACATTTGATGACGTTTGTAACTAGCGATGGTTGAGAGCTCGCCATCAGACTCTTGCAAGTATTTTTCCGGATGAGCAGGCTACGCCAAACAAACAAATCAACAATTGCAGGAATGATTCTGTTCGTGCACTTGGGCAGTTCTTATGGGACTGTGTGTGCGTGCAGCGTTGGTGCGTTGGTGCACTCTTGTGAGAAAGCCGCTCTAAGTATTGAGTATACACGCAAATTCTTCAACCATGCAACGTAAAGCCACCCTCGAGCTCTATTGCCCATGTAAACGTGCTTTCATCTTGAAATTATACGTATTTCAACTGATAAGCTTACAAATTCAACATGCTCTGCACCAAAAACAAACTTGCCGACCTTGAGCCGCATTGGAAAGCACAGCCATCTATCAACTGCCAGGGATTCATTTTACAACAGTACAGCCTACACGCGATTGCAAGTATGGACATGTTTCTGGCAGTGCCGAATGATTGAGATGAGGAGCGCCAAGCCAAATTGGCCTGCCGAGCCGACTCCCAACTGCCACCCAGTAACTCTTGGCTATTCAAGTGTGCTCAATCTACGCAGCAAGATGTCCAAGCATACCAAAAAGAAACTCCAAATTTATCTTACCAAGAAGCGTTTTTACGCTAAGGAAAACATAGACATACACATGTTACGCAGGTGCAAAGTTATGTTCATACACATGTACAAGACTTTATGTTCACATGCAATTCAAGATGATGAATACCATGACTGCATTGCGATTGGGCAGACCTGGCGTTTTGCCGATTGAGCATGGGATATATGATGCTGCGCGCGCAATCTGTATGTCAACTATTAGCTTGGCAATACTGATTGCTATGTAAACTCGCATAAGGAGCCACCAAGCTTAGCATGCATGTCTTCAGTGCTCTTCAGCTTTCATTGGCATGCTGGAGACTCGGCATCCGGATTGTCTACTCGCATCAGCTCTGGGATCGCATCAGCCATGCAAAAAGCTCAGTCTTGCCTATTCAAATCTTGGTCTACAAAAGTCCCAACAGGTGCCTATTGTTGCTACCCAAAAGCAGTTCAGCAAAGGTCCGTTTATTCCCCCTGGCTGACCAAAGTATGTCCCTACCATGTTCTTCACACCTGCATGCCCAAAATTAGCAAGCGATTTGGAGCAAATGACCCGACAAATTTCGTTGTTTTGCGTGGCTTCTTCTCGGATTGTGTTCCTGTCCTTTGCTTGTGCAAGCGGCAAACCGTTATGTGGCGTGAAAAGTTGTCGGATTGTCTTCTTATTCTTGCTTACATTAACGGAAAACCGTGAAATAGCGTGAAATAGCGTGAAAATTTGCCGGACTGTGTTCATGTGTTGACACGTCGGACGAGGCTCGATTTTTGTTTGCACCGTGAGTTGGAAGTGATGTGGCTTGATTGATTGTGTCACCTGGCAAGCCGGCCTAGAACTCATCAGCGGAGAAGCGCTTGTTGGACAAATGGAATACTAGCGCGTATGCCCCAAAACATTCGGAGAGAAGCTGACGAACGAGGACATGTTTAATCAAACAGAGCATTAGACAAACATGTTACTCGTGCCCTTTTTAGTTGGGTTTCATCGATAAACCAAGTCCTTGCAAAAAAACATATGGGGCCTGGACTGCGTCAAATCCGTTCTCGTCAAGACCGCCGCTTGAGCCCTTCCCAGCACATCTCGTTTGACAAAGCTGTTTTTGTTAAGTCTGTGAATTTTGCATTGCGGCATGGGGCATGGCAGGATTAGAGCCTTAATTTCTATCTGACCAGTGAAATTTCGCGTGACAAGCAGTTGCCGCTCGAATGGTGCTTGGGAACTGCTAGCAGGCTAGCATGCTTTCAAAGTGAGCCTCCTGGAAACAAATGAAACACCTGCTTTGAACAACAAGGGCTTTTTAAGATGGGCTGCGCTCTGGACGGGGTTGCGGCATGGTGTTAAGCAAGTATTTGGTTGGAGATGCGATTGTTGGAAATTAGACCCCTTACCTTCGGTCGACGGCTTATGGCCCGCAAACAAGCTTGTCATGATGATCCATCGCCCCTGCGTGGGCACGCATCAAACATAATAGAAACTTAGCTCGCAAAGCCAGAGGTTGCAGCTTGCAAGCAGTCAGGAAGCAACACATTTAAGCTACGCACGGGCAAGTTGACGAAATTGTGTAACTGTGGACAACAACGATGTAGCATCATTCTGCTTTACCTTTTTGGTTGGGGGGGTATCAACCCCCATCAACGTTTGGATAGGTTTTGTTGAGAGTGACTGCTGGCAGGATCTCCTGTTGCGAGGTGTTTTGCAAGGAGTTGCTGTCCTCCATGCGCAATAATTATGTTTGTTGAGTGATCTTTGCTAACCGGCGTTGCCTTAGTGTGACCCAGTGCTGGAAATGTGCTTCACTGTGTGGCCTGAAAAGTTTGAACTATCGCACACGTGCTTCGTCGCCACACTGTTTCGTCAAGCCAGCTAGCCCGTCAAAGTGGTTAACGTTACAATCGGAACTCCTCAGCAGGACCTGCTACACTATGCTAGTCGATTCCTTCTGTTGCATGCCAGGCAACCAACATTTACCGACAATGATCGGCTCGAATCATTATGTGCCCTGTTTGTGCCCTGTAGTTGTTGCCAGTCATTCGCAGTTTAAGTTTTGTCCGTACATCAATTTGCGGCGTGCCTTTGTATTTTCCTGCATTGTGAGTTAAGTTAGCGGTCGGAAAGGCATTGGAAAAGGCTGGTTGGAGGGCGTCGTCGGATAGAGTCGCCGAAATTGAAGCGAGCTTGTTGTCGGAATGCTTGTCGGAACCCTTGTCGGAAGTTGTCGGTTTGAATGTCCCCAAAAATTGGCTACATTCGGGTTCATCGGTCAATGTAGTTGAAAAACGCGGGCGTCGGCCAATGTAGGCGATATATGCATACATTGGATTATTAAAATTGACCACGCCGATCTCCGCAGAGGGTCGTGCGCACAGATTAAGCAGCGCAAAAAATCCTCAGCTTTTTAACATCGACCACGCGGATCTCCGCAGACGGTCGCGCGCACAGATTAAACAGCGCAAAAAATCCTCAGCTTTTTAACATCGACAACGCGGATCTCCGCAGACGGTCGCGCGGGAACCGCATAAATCGCAAAAAGTCCTCAGTTTTTTGACGTCGACCACGCCGATCTCCGCAGAGGGTCGCGGGCGCATTGCAGAAATCGTGAAAAGTCCTCAGTTTTTAGCGTCGGCCACGCTGATCTCCGCAAAGGGTTGGCTTTCGTAGACTGCTGTCGGCCCAAGAAGAGAAGAAAGGTTTAAAACTCCTCTCATGAGAACTCTCATGAGCATGGCTCCCCGCCAGTGGCTCTCACGAGCATTGCTCCTCGCAAGTGACTCTCATGAGCATTGCTCCTCGCCAGTGACTCTCACGAGCGTTGCTCCTCGCCAGTGACTCTCACCTGTGCAATGACTCTGTGCAATGGCTCTGTGCAAATGACTCTGTGCAATGACTCTGTGCTGTCTCTGTGCAATGACTCTCATGATGATAACTCCCATGAACCCAACGGAAGAACCCTTCGCCATGCTTTCGGGAAACACACTTTGGTTACAGTAAGGCCCCAGGAAAAAAAACAAATATGTCCAGTAGTGATGAATTATGTTTAAAACCAAGAAGGAACACTTTTTCAAATATATTCTTAAGCAAATGGCGGACACAAGGATGGGACACCTCCTTACATCACTCGGTTGCTTTCTGCTCCCCTGCCAAAAGTGTAACTTTTAGCAGGTTTAATTCGGAAAACCCATGAGTTGGGTTTAAAAAGTTGAAGTCCTAACATCCAAGAAAATGCAACAAAAAAACAGCTTCCCTCTTGGTGGTTTGACGCCCGGTGGTTTGATGCTTAGGGGTGGTTGCCATGCACCCTCTACCAGAACCAGGGGCTCAACTCGAAAAAAAGAAAAGAAAAGGGGAACCAAGCGAAAAGCTAAATTTAGAGGGGAAAATCCTTACAGGTTCAGGGAAGTCTTCTTTCAAACAAAATCAGTTTTTGGAGGAACCTCCTCACATGTTCAGGGAAAGCTTGCTTCGATCATTCGTTGGAGGAACCTCCTTACATGTTCAGGGGAATATTTTTTCTGTTAAACAAAAACATGAATCAACATTAGAGCTTGGTTTAGGGGATTTTTAAGCAACAGAAGACAATATTTGGAGGAACCTCCTTACATGTGTAGCGACATCTTCTTTCAACAAATCACAATTTTGGGAGGAGGCTGCTACATCTATTGGGCAATCTTCTTTTACTGCCATCAGCTGCCTGGCCGCTCTTTTGCTCGCTGCCTTCCCCCTCCCCCTCCGAAAGTGCCGGTTTTTCTCTTGAATGGGACATCCCCCCAGTAGCCAACCATTGGTTTGTACATCCTGGCGTCCCAGAATTCAGGCTCTGCCTTGAAACACCCACGACCAGTTTGAGTCGAGTCCGATTTGCTTGGAAATGGAACTCAACGATGTCGTCTCTTACATACTCCTAGTTGCATACCCCAAATACACATACCCCACACGTCGGCGCCAAAACGAGTGCGACCCAGGAGCTGTGCAGGGGCCAGTACATACCCCAGAAGCGCAAATGGCGCATGGGAAAGAAAATCGCAGCATGCGCGCGATATCCGATCCCGAGCGATGCTCACACTTGCAGAACACAGTATGGATACGCCATTTGTGGACTTGTCCTTCCCCCTGTTGGTCCTTTTTGAACATATTCTACAGGGGTGGGTCCACAGATTCGCCACAACCAAACCAATTTCTAGAACAGAATGGCAGGTGGAATGGGCAAGCAGCAGAGAAATAACTAACTCCATCGCGGTGCTAAAATGCAAAAGCATCTCCCAACTCATCTCCATGGCAACCCCCCCCACCCTCGAATTTCCTCACTTGCGGCCTTTCAACCGCTTCCCCGCCTTGGCCAAGTGCTGCGATCCATCGATGTCGATACGCGTCACGTGCTCCAAGGAGATGATGATGCCATGAGGCTGCTTGCTGGCCAGGGCCTGGCGTTCCAGATGAAGGTCCTCCAGTAGAGAGGTTAGAATAAGGGTACCAATTTTTCTGTGGTCTGTTTTAGTAGGGGGACCCTCCCCAAAAAGGGTAACAGGGCACTGCTGGGGGACCTAGAGACTACAACTTGCGTGTGGAACTAGCCCCAAACATCTAGGGCTTGATTCAAAAAACGCGAGGGTTGGGTCACATGTCCTTTTCCAGAGTACATGAGACTAGTGTACTGATGCGTGTTGTTCTGAGTTTTTCAGGTATTTCACAAGGCAGGCCCCATGGCGGGCCCTTCTCTTCAAAAACGCAGGCCCTGGCGCTGCGGTTTCTCTATGGCAAGTACGCCAAGAGCCCAGGGGTGGATTCCATCTCCATCTGGGTGAAGTATAGTATTTTACCAACCTGAAATAAGGTGGTTGGGGGGATACTCCCCACATAAACCATCATTTGGGGTGAGGTCGTGTGAGGTCGTTGTAATTCACCTAGATCTCCATTTTTCCCCCGTCCTTCTTTTAGAACAACCGATCGCTGTTTCCTTCAACTTGTGATGGACGGATCCCCGGAAAGAATGGGGAAGGTACGTCTAGAAAAAGAGGAACCGAACTGTTTGCTTGCCATGAACATGGTCCAAACCCCTGAAGCGACTAAAGTCCGAAACGGAACTCAGGAAGTGAGCTTTGCTACAACTTCAATGCTGACCTACTCACCATTTTAGGGGCAAGCATGCAGGTCATATCATAGAACTCAGACCTCAGTGACGATGGGAAAAAGGCACCTTTTGTCGATTCTGAAGGGAACACCCTCTACCCACAACCCACCCACCCACCCACCCACCCCACAAAACAAGGAGGGCACACGTCACGGGCACCGGTTTGCATTATCAGAAGCTGCACGGCTTGATGACTTGGCTCTGCAGACCGCTTCAAGGAACTGGTGCAACATTTCTTTGGCGAAAGCCAAGCGCCCCTGACGTTTGATTCTTTCGGGGGGTTTAAGACAGTTGAAAGACTCACTTCCGTAACTTTACCTGGGTTCCAACAACAGTTGCCACTTTTGCAGGTCCAAACAAATTGAGGGACCCTTCCTGAAAAGGGCGTACACCTGGCAAGTGGAGCAACGCTACCTCTCCGAGAGTGATTCTGAACAAAACCCTGCGGGGTCTCTGTAAAAAATCCCAAAGAAAAACAGGAGCAACATTTCTCCTCAAAACCAACGCGTCCGGATTTCGATTCGTCCGGAGTTCGACGCTTCCGCCTGCAGCCGGGAGAGGTGCTTGCTGGCGCACAGGAACGTCATGGAGCCCATGGGCTCATACAGCACCACGCTCTCGAAGTCCTGAAGTGCTTCGGCTGGGTTCGTTCGCTTCGGCGCGAGGAATCAGAAAGTCCGAGGCACAGGCTCTGAAAAACCCAAATGATGATACACACGTATATTATGTATGAATATATAAATAAATATGCATATAACACACCCATCATATATATATATATATATATATGTATGTATGTACGTACGTACGTACGTATGTATGTATGTATATGTAATACATACATATATATATATATACAACACCAAGCAAGTTCAAATCCCTAAGCCAAATCTTTTAAACAATAGCTTTCTTTGAGCTGCATCATGTGCGGTTTGGACTGGTGGAATGGAAAGTTGAACAGGTAGGCCTTCCTGGAATCACATGTGAAGATGCCCCTTGACCATTTCAAACCACCAGTTGTAGGCAAGCAAATGTAATTCATGGTGGGAATTGCCCTATCCGTGGTACCCAAATGGCTGTGCATTTGTGTAACAGTCCGCTTGTTGGGTAGATTTAAAGAGACACCGGAAGGACACCGCTCAGACTCATTTTGGGGTCCCCCTATTTGGACACACGTAGGGGCAATCCCTTCGACTTTGACACTTTCATTTCAGTTTTTAAGGAAGCGGACCGTTCTGCCGCCCTGACATGTGCATCACATACTCATTTTCGGGAAAGCTGAGAATACCTCCATTTGCTGAATCCCCCTGGAAAGTATAAGCATATGTCCAGTAGTGCTAGATTGCCTTCAAAACCAACAGGGGGAAACCACATGGAAGAATAGAAAGCTGGCGACTCCAAGACGCGTCGCCGGGTTTTTGTTTTCTGCCCGGGCGCATGCTTGTGAAGCTCGTTGTCATGCTGCTTGGCAGGCTTGCCGCAGGCGAAGCGCCACAGCACCCGCTTCAGTGACTTCAGGGGCGCCGGTTCCACCGCCAGGTTGGCCCCGTGGTCGAAACCAGCTGTAGCCCACCTTGGCACCGCGCAGTGCGGTGCTCGCGGCGCAACGCGCGTGATGGGAAAAAACAAAGCACGGCTTTGGAAAGATGAAAGGGTCTTACCCAAAGGGGCCATCTTTGTTTGAGGATTTGAGGGTCCTTCGGCCAAAGTTTCAGGGGCCTCCGACTCCAAAGGGTCGATCAGCCGGCCACCTTTCTGCCACCAGCGGTTGAGTTGCCAAACGTGAATGCCCACAGGATGCGAACTCCAACGCGCAACGACTCGGGGAAGTGAGGATGCCCACGGCACGAACTCGGGGAACGGTGAGGGCGTAGCAATTGTGCGAAGAGCAGCACGATTCAAAGCCCGGCTGTATACACCCAGAACGGACAAGGCCTTTTTCCGGACTCCTTTGGAGGATGGTTTTCCAGAGCCACGGAAGGATGAACGGCTAGGTATCCCTGTAAGGTGGGATCATACCAGGGATTCATAAATGGGTGTCATGTTCAGTCTGTGCAGGATATTGCAGGATAGTTGCCTAAGGGAAATTCAGCTAAGCTCAAATTCACCGCAATGGGCGTCCATCTCCCCATCTGCGAATCAGGTGTGCGTGCGTGAAGCCCCCGCGGACCACACACACACACACACACACACACAATCAGGTCTCGAAAGCACGCCAGCTAGGGCAGCATGTTGATTTCAGGCCCCTTACCGACAGAAAGTGGGGCATTGTGCCATCTGCTTTCATCGTGTTGTACGGCGAGGGTGGGAAATGGGTAAAGACACTCTTTGACGTGTCTCAGCGCGCACGCACACACACTCACACCGACACACACAAACAAAAACAGAACAACATATAAACAAACAAACAAACCAACACACAAACAAACAAACACACAAACAACGCAACAACATAACAAAGAAACAACGAAAGAAACAAACGCACAAACAACAAACCACTCTCTACACATTTCGGCGCCCCATCTCAATGGGGCAGACCCCAGGTATTCTTGACCCCGGATTAATAAGCCCTTGCTTATTTTAATTTTGGGGTGTCCCTGGTTTTCGTGGGGAGTTATCACTTTTGGAGGGGCCCCCACCCCCATATGAATAAACAAACAAACAAATTCACACATTTTGTCACCCCAGCTCAATGAAACTAGACCCCCCCAAAAAAAATCGCCAAGACGCTTGGAGAGGGGTCCGGTGAGCTGACTGAGCGGGGTCCCCGTCTCGCTGACCTCAGCCACCGCCTTGTCCAAGGTCACCCGGCTCTCCGCCCGCGCCGTCTCCGCAGCGTCCCGCAGCAGCGCTACCACCATGCCTGGAAGCGAAATGGAGGGTCTGGTTCACAAATGAGGAGGTCACCTAAATCTAGGTCCTCCAGTGGAGAGGTTAGAATAAGGGTACCTTTAGTAGGGGAATCCTCCCCCAAAAACGAAACGGCAAACGGGCACTACTGGGGGACCTAGTAAAGGTTGCCATGAAAGGAGTGGTTTGGGGATTTTGTCAAAATTGTGGGCAATTTGTTGTGGTATCTTCCTTTTTTTCCCTCTTCGGGTAAGTTAACAATGGTTGCTGTGAAACGCCGCCAGGTACCCACGATGAGCCCGTAGACCGGGTCCAAAAAGACGCAGATGGAGGTGGTCATCACCAGCAGGAAGCAGCTCCTGTGAATCAGATTTGGATATGGCAAGTTGAGGCAGAGGAGTAAAAGAGAACAGCTTGGTTGACGTTGGAAGGGGAGCAACAACTTAAATTTTAGCAGTTAAGTGGATTTGGATTTCAACCACTAAACCACAAGCAAAAATGGAAAAATGTTTCCCAACAACCACGGCAGGCGGAACCCACAAACACCACATCTACATTGGTTTGTCTCTAAATTGAGGACCCCTGACATGGCCTGTTTTTCTTTTCCCTCGAAACCAACCAGGATGAAACAAAGGGAGCGGCCCTGATACAATTCTGACGGATTCCCTTGGTGGGAGTTGAACAAAGCACGTGCAAGCAAGGCGGTTCAAAGTCCTGGTGAGGATCAGCTTGAAGGCAACTCGAGGCATGCAAAGGGAGCCATGCAGAGGCAAATGAGGAGAAGACCATTTGTTGTGTTCTCTCTTTCTTGAGGTACTCAGCAACTTATTTCCGGATGGAGCCCCACTGCAAGAAAAGGAAACAAAAGTGGGGGGGTTGGTTCGCGTGGGCCATGGTTTTGCTCCTGCGATCGTTGCGCCAAAGCATGGCGATGTAGCTGATGGGCGCCATCTTGATGGAGGCGAAGACCAGCAGTGCTGCCACGGCGGCCTGCGGGAGGTAGGAGAACACCTCGGAGAGGTAGAGACACCCACTTCGGTTCTGAAAACGTTCGCACCGATTTGTGTGAAACCATAACGTTAAAACCACAACGTTTTGTTGATCTTTACAGGGGGGATCACCGTTCCAGGTTTGTGAGGTAGCGCGGGATTTCGTCCATCCACAGTATGAGGGCAATGTTGACCCCAAATTCATAAACCGCTGGGGGAGAAATATGGGGTGCCCCCTTTTAGTGGGGATCCATCACTTTTGGAGGGACCCCCCCCAAATGGGAAGGATTTGCTAGTGTGGGGTCAACATCATGTGTCAAAATGAGGTCCGGACCCCGCAACATGCCCGTTGCAAGTGCAACCACAAGTTGGTCCTTTTCAATCGAAACCTGCCACAGGAGCTCAAGTCCAAACTCGAGTGACTCAGGGCTCCTGAGATTTCTAGGTTGCTTTCTGCTCCCCTGCTAAAAGTTTGACTTTTAGTGGCTTAATGGAAAACCCATGAGTTGGCAAAAAGTTAAAGTCCTAACATCCAAACAAAATTCCATAAAGATTTATCCCACGTTGACAAGAGGAAGCTCAATCTAGGGGCCAATCATTAACTCCCCTACCCGCCAGAATCCTTCTCAGAACCCTTCTTCTAGGGAACGGGGGGAGGGGAGGAGAGGGGAGCCTAGGTGGTTTCCGCCCTCAAAAGCTGCTGTCCTCTTCGGGCCATGGTTGAAATGCAAGGGTGTTTCACAGTTCAGGAGCGCACCCGTCCAAGTCACAGGCATGGCCACCGCGAAGATCAAAAGCACCGCGATGGCATTCATCATCTGTGAGACCCGATGGGTAGCTCCTAGCTGCACATTCCTTCGTCGAAAGCAAGCCAAAGCCGAGGACCTCTTTGAGAGGAACGCAATCGCTTTGATCCTCCAAACACTGAACTTCAGCTTCTTGACAGTAGGGAACCATTAAACCTCTCAAAGGCTGTTTAAGGATCCTGGTGCATAAGGTGACCCCAAAAACCGGACTCCAAAAGGACTTACCCTCCTACCAATTAACATGGAACCTGTGTAAAGGGACCTCCTGTCAGGTTTCATGTTAATCGGCGGGAGGGTAACTGCAACCAAGATTCAGTGAGGTGCGTACAAAGACGCCAGTTGGTGGCAAAGCACCTACGGCGCCGCACACTGCATGACATACCACCAAGCCCAGCGTCTCCCGAGCGCTGTTGAAGGGGTAATTCCTGAGACCGAGAGTTTGGTCGGTTCCAGGTCTCATAGGCAAAACTGGGTTGATCACAATTACAGGGATCCCGTGCGAGTCCCAATCCGACATCCGCGGGACAAGGGGATTACGAGCCTCTAGCATAAGGACCTCTTTAAGATCTACCATCCCCCAGAGACTAACATGGACCCCTTTGGAAGACTTGGTAAACCATTTGCAGTTCTGTTAGTCTGAGGGGTGGCATGATTGAACCAACCCTCTCAAAACTGCCGATTGAAGAGTCGAGGCACATCCTCTGCTCTGCAATCTTTGCCGAGATCAGCGTCTCCAGGACAGCAACAAAGGCTACTCCAAAGGCTGTGCGAAGCAAGTCAAAGGTTGGAAAGTTAGACAGCGGCTCTGTAGGAGGTGCAACGATGCGCGCCTGCAACGTCCCATACTTGTCCTCAGCTCGATGCGAAGCGGCACAGCTGTCAGGCAGTTCGACAAGCAGCCACGCTGTGAAAAGCAATCGACCCCGCGATCCCCTGCGCTCATGACATCCCTGCCAAGTCTCCTTCAGCGTGGGCAGGATAATGCCCCCCAGCCTGCCAGTGTCGGACAAATAGCCCAGCAAGATCGTGAACACCGGCAGCAGCACAGTCCAAGGGATGGGTCTCCCCTTGCACTTGCTGCAATACTTCACCAACACCAGCAGCCTCAGATTGCACGGCTCGGCTCACTGCCGCCGGAGCAATCATTCAGCAATCCTGACGCGGGCGTTGCGTCTTTCTGTCCGGGCATCTTGGGAACCCGGCCGGGCATGAGGTCAAAAAGCGAAGCTATGCCAGGCAACTTGGGTCACTCTAAGCACGCTCCAAGCCATTCAAACCAAAGCACCTGGAAGGCGGAAAGTTTGGCTTTGAGTCGCTCAAGCTTGCAGTGCACCTACCGCCTCAAAAGTAAGTTCATCTAATCCGATTCCGCATCGGAGAGCGAAATTCAATTCAACGCGCTTGGGTACGAATTTTAAACGGGAACCCTTCGGTGTGGACATCATGCAGGGCGCTTCTGTCCACCAACCACTTCTGAGGTTCCAACTCTTGAGAAACAACACCAGTCTGATTCCAATGAAGCAGCCCTTTGGCAGTTTCTCCACCCACTCCTTTCACCCAGTGAAGGAGTGCCGAAAAAGTAAGGAACTGGCAGTTTCTTCCTTTTTCGGCACTCCTTCAAAAGCGCGCGCGCGCGCCATTGGCGCGCTCTCGCTCTCTCCTTCCTTTTCGTCCCAAGCCGAGTTCCGTCGGGTTTCCGTCGAGGTCCGTCGGTTCCGTCCGAGGGGCAGCCCGGTGACCAGGAAGAAGAGCAGCGCCGGGGCGAAGCTGTAGCCGTGCAGGGCCTCCAAGGATCGGACCAGGTTCCTGGGAGCGAGCCGACAGGACCCAACGTCCGGATGTCCCAACGACCGAAGTGGCCCAAAAAAGGGAAGGGCTGTTAGGTGTCCTTTTTGGGGGAAATAGATGGGTTTCCCTGGTAGATGAGTAAACCACCTGGTAAAACAGGAATCGAAACCCATCTATTCCTTTGCCAAAACCACCAAAAAGGACACCTATGGCTGTTGGTCGTGAAATCCAAACGTCTCCAAGAACTCGCCTTCAATGAGGACACCCACGCCGCGTGTACCAGCAAGCTCAAAAGCTGTGCGGGGCCAGATGCCAAAGCGCATCTATGCGGTAGGACTACCGGGAGCTTGTGAGTGGGAGGTGTGCCCAGTTGCAACCAGAAACTGGAAGGAAGAAACAGGGACACTGTTTGAGGTTCACCCTTTTCAAAAAGGACCCCAACCCCCCCCCCTGGAGCTTACATACCACTCAAATGCCATATATAAGGGGTATACAACCGCCTTCCAAACGGATATTGGTGGAAAGCATCCATACCTCCAACAAATCTGGACATGCTTCCCTGACCCCATTCGATCTCCTGCTCCTTTTATTCCGTCGGATGGCCTCTCAGCCACCGAGGCTCTCGTGGAAGTGCTCGGACTTCGGGCCGTCCGGGGTGAGGTTCAAGGCCATTTCCAGCTGACCGCAGCCGATGATAATGGCCACTGCCAAGGTGAAGCCTCCCAGAAAAAAAGTCAAAAGAAGATACGCCTGGAGTACATGCCCCATATGGCCATGGGTCAAAACCCCGTACCCCCAGTGAACATCCCCATCCCCACCGAAATAGACTAAAATGGGTGGTGCACCTGACCCAAAATGGTACCATGGGCTTTTACCCACAGCCATATGGGTATATGGACGGATGGATACATGGATATGGATATGGACGGATGGATACATGGATATGGATATGGATGGGTGGATAGATTAGATTCGAACCGACCCGAGCTAGCTGGATAGAGAGATAAACTAAGCTACAGAAAGTGGCCCCACAGGTTGATACTACCAGTTTCGGCAGAACTCAGCATGGCACTGTAGGGGTGCCAAGGTTACTTCCCTTCAGTTGGAGCCCAATGCGAGTTCAAGACATCGGACAAACCGAAAGAGCTACAGAGCAGTGGCCCAACATAAGGAATGCCTTTTTGAGCATTTTTTTTACAAAATTAAATAAGAGATCCCCAACCAAGTAAAGCACCTTTGTCATGACGAGCTCGCAAAACCCCCCCAGGTAAGTTCGCTATAGAATAGGCAGAACAATGCATTGTTTGTTGGCCGAATGTATGCTCTAAGAATTCACGAGTGAATGGTCTACTAGATCTTGCGCTGTACATGATGTTTCGACAGGTCAACAGCTGGGTACTCTGTGGAACTGACCAAACACCTGTCATGAGTGCTCAGTTCGCTGGTATTGGAATTCAGTGGAATTCTATGTGGTGGCATTTGCTGTGGGATGAAAGCAGGTGTTTGACTCCAAAGCAATCGGTGCAAAAACCAAAGAAAGACACACAAACAATATTCAACAAACACACATCTAGAGAAAGAACACTAAGAATAGAGCAAAAGAAAGACAGAAATAAAGCAATAGATAACAAGAGAAAGCGATAAAGACAGGCGCACAGCAAAGCAACCAAGCAAACCATAGCGCGTCATTGACTGGGCTGTGCAAAATGGAGGGTTGGCCAATCCCAATCCATAATCCCTGGGGGAAAGCCACTACAAAGGGGGACCCCTTACGCAACCCCAGGTAAGGATGAAGGATTACCTTTGAGCAGCCCAGATTGAAGCTTGCTCCAATTGTTTAGAGACCAATGGCCAGATCTTGGGTTCACCTGCCTTCAAAGACTGCGGTGGGCATCAGCAGGAGGTAGCGTTGAAAGCCGAGGAGATAAATTACGAGGATGATGGCTGCCGACACCATAGACCTCAGAAGAGAGGGAGGGAGAGAGAGAGCCAGCAAAAAGAAAGATGAAGCGGGAGACCTTGTTGCTGCAACGACCCCTCTGCAAAAAGTGAATCACTTTTGTGGGTGGAGTGGAAAGCCCCTTGATTTCCCAAAAAGTTAGGTGGGGCTGTCAAAACTTTGGGCCATGGGTTTTGGCATCCCTTCTGAAAGGCAGCGCAAGGTGGCGCTCGGGTCCAAAAAACGCGAATTCAATTGTGACAGCCCACGCGAATGCAACGGGAGTCCTCAAACGCCTGGAAGCAATGCTGTCGCCCAGTCACTAAATCGACTTGAAAGTCTTGCCATCATGCCCTTGCCCCCTGCTCGCCCCCGCTTCGACAAGGCCCTGGTTAAAAGTAAGCAACAGCTTTTCAAGGTACAGGCCCACCAACTAACACACGAAACGTTTCAATGCAGCTGTCCTCCCATGAACTTTCACATTGTTTCATGGGAGTGATGGAATTCTCCCAACTTTGCGGCCATGTTGTGGGTTTATCTCTGACCTTGCAAGTGTTTTGTGAAACATGCCCGAGGTGAAAGCCAATGCGCAGCCATCTGCGAACAATCTTTTCCAGGGAACCTCCTCGCAGGTGAAAGGCTTTGTGTCCAGCATGGGTCAAAAGCCAAATCGTACCCCCCGTGAACATCCCAATTGCCACTAAAATAGGTTCTAAAATGGGTGGTGCACCTACCCAAAAATGGGATCCCATTGGTGTTGTGATACCGACAAAATAGCCCAGGGGTGCAGGCAAAGGGCAAGTACGGGAGCACCTGCGTGCTTCCGAACTTGATGGTGGCCGCATGGAGCATGCCGCTAAGAGCGCCTGGCATGCATAAAGAGAGAGCGAGAGAGAGAGAGAGAGAGAGAGAGCTCTCCTGCTGCCAAGTCCGCAAAAGGCAAATGGTGTCGAAATAATCCAACAACTAATCCGGCCCGTAATGACACGCTTGCTGATGTGGCTCATGTGAAGTATCCACTACAGGAAACCATGCGAATTTGTAGGGAACGCTTCCCCACTCTTTTTGGGGATCCTTCAACCCAGGAAACCAGAAACAACCCAAACAGCTGGCTTTTGAAAAAAAACAACAATGGGTAAAAATAATGGTTGGACTCAACCCCTAGAGAAGTATATAAACAAGGGCCACATGTTTTTTCAGCATTCCTTCTTTTGCAGGGCCGACAAATGAGCAACTGGCACTTCTGAAAAACCATCCGATCAACCATTCTGGTGAAGATTGAGTCAGAGGCTATCCTTCCACAACTCCATCCTCCGGTAGAGAGGATGGAATCAGGGTACCCTTTTTTTCTGTAGTCTATTTTAGTAGGGGAACCCAAAGAAACGGTAAAAGGGCACCTAGCTGGGGGACCTAGTCTGGATCCTTTGCAAGCGTGTCTGGCCCAACTGGCCCACGACTCTGCCAAGTCCTGGATGACTAAACACCCAGCCGCCTCGCCTGCCGGGCCGATGATGTTGAAGTCGCTGGAGCTGAACATCGAAGCACAGAGCCCGCCCCAGAAGGCCGTGGCAACGCCTTAGGCGTTAAAGCTTGCGGACAGCACTCTGAAAAACACGGCCGCTTGCTTGCTGAGACACCAGCAAGCAAGCAAGCAGGCAGGCAGGCAAGCAAGCAAGAAAGCAAGCGTGCTGTGCAAGAACTGGGGCATTGATTGGCAGGGAGATAGAAAGGGGATGGGACCCAAGTAAAGCCTGGAATGGGGCACATGGCTTCTGAACTGCAGGGAGGTAGATAGAAAGGCAGGGGATCAGCATCGAACGTACCTCAGGCCGGGGAGCCCATCAAAGGGGCGCTGGGGTCCCCTCCAGCAACCGATGCGATGCCCAGGGAGATGGACAGGGGCACGCTGACCTTGGGCTCAACCGAAAAAACCGGAGTACTTGCAACAATCTGCCACGTCTATGTATACGTACATTTACGTATAGATACAACTCACACGGTCTCGTGATGCCCAGGGTTGGGCTCACTTTGCGTGTTGTCTCAACAGTGGCTTCAACATATTCGATCAAAAGGCTAGCCCAAGCGTGTTGTCCCCAATTTCAACTTCAAAATGGGGTGACCCGCCAAGGGGTGGTTTGCTTGTCACACTTCCCAAGTATAACTGTTTGTTTACCCCTACCCAAGTCCAGGAACTCGCGAGTTTTGGTCTCCCTTTAGAATGACTCCTGTCCAAGAACCTTAAATGCACTGCAGTGTCAGCCGACAATGGACGAAAAACACGTTGCCGCAACGGCTGTCCTCTGAATATACTTTTGTGCTCCGAACATGGCAACTTTGATGTCTCCTGCCAAGCCAAAGCACTTTTGAATTACGAGGCAGTTGTTCAAAACATTGATTGGCAATCCCCCCAGTGCCGTAGTCCTGAAGGTTTTTTCTAGTTGCCCTAAGAACCGGCAACATGCAACTGTAAACAAACATCCATTGGGCACGCCCGTCTCCTAATTCCATTTGGGCATGAGTCAAAATAAGAGAACCCCCAAAACCCCCAACATGGCTTTGGCTTTCCCTTTCACTCCACCCAAACGGGCTTTTCAAAACACCCAAAACGGGCTGTGGGGATTCAAAATTATGGATTTAAGCTAATTTCGAGGTCCGACCTGTGTACTTAAGCCCTGCTTCTGTGTCCGCACCTCTGATCGGAGCACGTGTCGGAGCCGGGACACGGTTGAATGTTTATTTTCGTTTTTGGGCTCTCATGAAAACAATGCGAAACTCGACTGCCGTATAGAAAAAGCAACAATGGGCGCGAACAACTTGGTCAACGAAAATCACTCCTGGATGCTACGGGCTACAGCCTTCTCAATCTGTCCCAGGAAACGCCCCCCCCCCCCCCCCCCCCCCCCGCCACACCAAACCCATCATACCCAATTCCCCGGCCATGGTCGGGTCGCCTGAGCCAACCCCTCCTCAAGAAAGACATTGATTAGGCACTGCTAAACTTCCCTAAGTTCACCCTCCTGAATGTAAGAAACTAGTTGGTTAGCATAAATTGGGGGGGGTGCACTTAAGGGATCGCAAAGCTTTAGGCGCAGCCAACTTTGTCCAGGTGTAGGGTTAATTGCTTGAATTCAGGGGTGGTGAACTTATGGGATCGCAATTTTTTAGGGGTGGTGACCAGGCGCAGCTCAAATTCTTTGGCGTAAATTCAGGGGGGGGGGGGAACTTCAGGGGCCGCAAATCCTTATGCGCTGCAAAAATCATGAAGTGCAAGGTTAATTAGCAAAAATGCCGGAGGTCGGTGAACTTAAGGGATTGCAAATCCTTGGCGCCTGATTGATTAGCTTAAAACTCACAGGTTCCAAAATCCCTAAGCACATGGTTCATCACTCACAGGTACATGTGTGATCGAATCAGAAAATCCCTCAGGTGTTCGTGGGACATTTCACTGTATGCTAATTCTGCCCCATGTGTAATCCGCATCAGAAAACCCCAAACCAAGGTCATTTCTTTAGGTGTGTGCGAAATCACTCACAGTTTATACCAATTCTCCAATGAGAGAATGCCATCAAGTCCGTGGTTTGCATTGTTGCCAAACAAAACGCCTTGTTGGTCTGTTCAGCTGCGAAAACACACAATTTTGAAAACCATTGGGTTTCAGCAGCCCTGAAAACAGCCCCACCCTTAAGTGCACGGGGCCCTCCTTATATCCATAATTTTGAGAGCCAACAAAACGGGCGCCCTCAGCAATCAAACAAACAAGCAAGCAAACAACCACACACACACACACATCTTGAAGGGAGCCAAACCCTTTGGAACCATTGGAAGATGGTTACACTTTGTGCGAGCTGCCAGGGCCACTGTGAGGCCGCTCTGCCAATTGTCCAGCAGCGCCTGGTGCAAAGGTACCATGCCCAGCCGCGTCTTGAGCTCACATTGAGCGCACCTCCGTTCCGGTTCCGCCGATGTGTCCTGCACGCCAGGAAGGAGCAAAAACACACACACACACACACACGATTAAAAGACACAAACAAACACCACAAACAATCACAGCAAACCCCCACAAACACAAAGCAAACACAGACACACAAACATACAAACACACAAAGCAATACACAAACACATCGAACACACGCACACACTCACACAGGTATACACGCAAAGCATGCTGACGGCACACAATCTGGCCCATAGAGCCCCAAAACAGATTGGCTGTACTGATCTCCTCCGTAAAAACAGCTGGCTGCCCATGGGCAACTTGAGCGCAAGTGGGCACACATACCCTGGATTCTGCCGGCTTCTTGAGCCAAGGTCGGAATCTTTTGTGAACATTGCCTCGGTCTCAGGAAAGTCGGGCTTTGAACATCAAAACCCTTCACGTCAGACAGTTCCCTCCCATATCCACAATTGCCAGCCTGGCTTCAGCCAGTCACAAACTCTTCAGCTACTTTGCCAGCCCAGTGGTGATAGACAAAGGGGAACCACTTTCTTGGGGTGATCATCGGAAACCCACCAGACCAAAAGAGAAAAACGGCGCTTGGGTTGCCTGACCCTGACCCCTCCGAAGTCAATCTCAGCTCTCCTCCACCGTGTCGCCCTGCGATGACTCCATTCTACGTGTTTGATTGAAACGCTGGGGGCCAAAAAGCTGCGCGCTCAAGTCAGCAACCGCGAGCAAAATAAAGTGAAGCCTGAAACAACCGCCCCGAACCCGAACTCCGCCAAAGCTGTAACATTGCGCATGGTTGCCCCGTTGCTTCTGAGCGTGCCCTAGTTGCCCCTGGGCCGTTGTCGTCAAAGCAAAAGTCAACTTGCACATTCCGACAGCCAACAACATACTGGCGTGGAAACCCGTGAGGGCCGACCCACTCACACCCCCTGTCTCCGGTGACATGCGGAACAGATTGTCCAACGAGCTGGCGATCCTCTCTGGCTTGCTGGATTGGCTGTGATTGGGAATCTCAATAGTTGTTTTTGAGAAACGTCCAGCCCGGTGCTTTCATAGGTGCTTTGATGCTGCGGTGCCTGTCTAATCACACGAGCAACTCAAGTTTCAGGTTCCGCGGCCAGCGGCCCTGGCAAACGAGATTCTGATAATCGTTCGTCGGTTTCAGGCCCCGCCCATACGACGATTGTTACCCTGGGGCAGCCGCCTTTGCCAGAAGCCTGTGTTAACCTCAACGCCTAGAGGTAAATAGGGCATCGCCAAACAGATTAGGATTTTGGCGTTGGACAAAACACACATCCCCCTCCCCCCCCCATGGCCTGAAAGTCCGGTCGCGTTTTTGGGGGCTGAAAGCCCAAGCGGCAAGTTGCGGCAAGCCCGAGCCGGCCGCCCCTTTTTGCAGGCCCTCGATGAAATCTGAGCTCATCTTGTTCTTGCCCTTCTTGCGCGTGCTTTCCCCGAAGAGCCTGGGAAAGGTCTGATGGTCTCATGGTCTGTGTGTGGCTCCCTTCGCAGGGAACTGCCTAGAGAAGCCAAAGGAACACACAGTCTGGGAGCTCCCTTGAGAGAAACACCAGCAAGGTTCGCTGGGCCATCCGATTGAGTAACAAACTCATGCCAAGCATTGGCGTTGCCTGTTGGCATCTTGCAGCATTACGATACTGGCAGTACACATGTCGTGTTTTCTATCCATGGCCGTGCCAAGGCATCTCAAGTCTTCTGGCATGCTTGAAGAACCGCCCCGTGCTTTGCAGCACCTACAGTATCATTTAGTCTAGCTCTCGCTTCCCTTCTGCTTTAGGAATGGCCTTGGCCAAAGGATCTGGCAGGCATTTCGAGCCGCACCTCAGCCAAACATCCCTGCAACTCCCTGCCTTGTCGTCGGCACATCCAGGCTACCCTGGCGACATTTGCTCAGTTGCCCAAAGGACCTGGGACTAAAAGGATAACCTTTTGGGGCCATGACTAAATATGGACCAACACAGGAAAACTAAAAGGCCAAAAGGTTGGCTTTGGGCAACTGAGTTTGGGATCAAACTTGGAGGCGCTCACCGGGGTTTCTATGCGTCTGCGCCCAAAGGATGGCCAAAGATCAAGCTTAAGCCACGGGTACTTGGAATTGGGACGCCTAATTCCAAAAAACCATATTTGTTTGTCTGGATAGAGGAAAACAAAGGGGGCCCCCAAAAAGCAAACAATTAAAGAGGGGAGCTCATTCTGGGGAAGGGTAGAACTCATCGCCTGCACCCGCTGCACAATTTCCGTGGCCTCTTTCGGCGGTTGCTCCTGAAGAGCTTGGGGTTCGAACCTCGGCGCAGTGCGCGAGCGCTGGTTTAAGCTTTAGGACACCCTACGGGCATGGGTCAAAAATCCAACTCGTACCGCTAGTGAACGGGACCCAATCCAACCGCTAAAATAGGTTCCAAAAAGGGTGGTGAAGTCACCGACCACAAAATGGTTCCACGGGTTTTGACAACCACAGCCCTATCGAGCAGGATCAACCCATCAACACCGGTCGCCACCGATCCGCCGCCGCTCGTCGATCGTGCACGGCAGTCTGACATGTCTGACTTCAAGAAACTTCAAGGCTGTCGCGGCCTGCGTTGTGACCTTTTGGGCAGTGCCGGGCGTCACAAAAACCTGCGCGCAGGTCAAAAACTCGCATTTCGAGGTCCTCTCGAGGGCCAGTTTGCGACATTGGAGCATACTGAAACCTAGACAGGTCGTCGGGCGCCGTTTTTACCAACATCAAACGCATTGGCAACATACGTATTACCAGCGCCGCAGAACGTGCGGTGCGTCTTTATCGGACCATATCGTCTCGTCCCTATCATGTCTCTCCGCTCACATGCTGGCGTGTGTTACACGCACCCGCTGTCTCGTCCCTGTGCGCGCGTGCGCGGCGCATGCTAGGAACACTGACGCTCGCATGGTCGCTGTGTCTCTCCACCCTTAGCTCAGTTACACGTCCGCTGTCTCATCCCCTGAACGCGTGGGAAGCACATGTCAAGAGCGCTCGCGCGACTACCGCCCCACCCCTACAGGCCTGGAACAGTCAAGCATGGCAAGCACACGCGTGCGACTGGCTCGTCTCTCTGCGCACATTCTTAGCGCGTACGCGCACTTGCATTCCGGCGGCCTCTTCCCTTTGCACACATGCTTGCTTGGCATTCTGCTCGCAGCCCCCCGCTACACATGATATGTTTGCTAACTTGTGCGCTGGCTCCAGATGCTCTTCGAATGAACTCTCTCAAAGACCTTTCTAGCATGTGTTTGACTGGTGCAGAAGCAAAGAACCGCGTCTGTGCGCGCCCGCCAGCAAACTAGCACTTGAGCTAGTCTTCCGCGAGGCGCTAAGCCACTTCACTAACGTCATCTAGTCCAACAAGCGACCCTGCAAGTCATCCTCACGTGTAGAGCTTGTCTACATGGTTCGCTGGTCACTGCGAGTTGCTCAACACAGGCATCTGCCCTGAGATTCCCAGCTGCCAGGATGAGTTTCCGCGCCAGGTTGGACAATGTGAGACCTTTCAGCGGGCCTGCATTTTTTTCCGCTGGCGCCCGCCCACTTCGCAAACTGAGGGTGCGGCCCCGAATTCATCTCCTGCGCGAATGGGGAGGCAACAAAAATTCGGGGCACTGCTATTATCCAGCCATGTTTGAACGCTCACCTCCATTTGCTTAATTCCCCTAGAAAAAAAATTTCGATTTTCCAGTAGTGATAGATTCCCTTTAAAACCAACAGGGGAAAAAAAAGGAACTATTCTTAACCAAATGGAACGTTCAAGGCAGGAGGTGGGGGTCCTGCATCCGGAGCTCCTTCCTTGGTTGCTGTAGCGACCCCTCTGCAAAAAGTGAGCTTCGCTTTTTTGGGGTTTAGTGGGAAGCCACATGATTTCAACCAAACAGCTTTTTTGACTAAAGACCCGTTGCACAATAGCAGTGAGAAACTTGCAGCCAGCATCAGCCCTCGTGCTTTCCTTGTCAACATCTACATCTAAGCTTCACGGGTGTGCACCGGCAGCAGCAAACCAATGAACTGCACATCTTTTTGCACCACACCGGCCCTGACAGCCTTTCAAGCAAGCCCTTCTCGTGCTCCGAGTTTGGCAGACCGTATTTCGTTGCCTGTTTCCTGTGGCTTTCGCTCCTCAGAACTTGAAGGATAAAAGCGGCCATGGGCGATACGAAAATGAACGTCTCCTTGGCATGGTCTTCTGGCTCTAAGCAGCCTCTTTTTAATATATTTCGATTAGGTTGGGTTTAGGGTTTAGGGTTTAGGGTTTAGGGTTTAGGGTATTTCGATCAGCTTGGGCAGCTTTGATAAACACAGTTGGCTTTGGAGGCTTCGTAGTGAAAGCCCGCATCATTTCCTCTTTTTGACATGGCCTCGAACATCGAGGCGATCCGATAAACCAACACATTGTCTGCCTGCTTTTGTACAGAAAACAGGCGCATACCCCGCGTCATGCCCGGACTGAGTGAGAGAAGTCAAGCCCATACCGCGCCTTGCCCTCCTTGCTACTGGAGGAGAAGTCCTGGCAAGTCCCCTTCAAGCCTACGCATGGTCGCGGAAAGGGGACCCCTTCGTTTTCCAACTCCTGACCCTCAATTTATTTGTGACAGGCCGCTAACACAGGTTAAAAGGAGTGCTCAGAGTTCAAATGTGAAGAGGGGCCAAAGAAACCAAAGGCCCCCCAGGCCCCCCACCCCTCTCTTTTCCCAGTAAGAACGGGTTCTTAGAAGGGTTCTGAGAACCTTCCGGTAGGGCGCTCAAATGTCTCTCCTTGCCAGCTCAGGCATGTTTAGGCAGGATGCTGGAATTGCAGGGGTGCACAGCTCAGCAGTCAGCACGACCCACTGCCACACTAACCACACGCTCCAAAGCAGAAGCTTGAGTTCGGAAGCGATGGCAAAGCCGTCAGTTGGCACGTGGAGCCTGAATCCAGGCAAGCCACAAAATATTATCTAAGCAATGACCTTTGATGGATCGTCATGTCGAACCTATTCGCGCTCCATTTTCTCGCCAGCAACTCCTTGAGCTTTGTAATCGCGCCAGGCGCTCAATGACAAAACCCAATGCGGCAACCAACACAGAACACTGAACAAGCCGAAAACCGTGGCCTTTGGCGCCACTAAAACGGGCACCTCTTTCGCCAGCCGTTGTTTTCAGGCTAAGATCTTGGCAAAGTCTTTGGGCCTTTCTCGCTTGAGATGGTGAACCTCTACTGCATGAGCCAAGCGCAAAAGCACAGCTTCGTCCCAATGGTCAGACATGAAGTGAAAGCCCACGGGGATCTTGGTGACTTCGTCATAGCCAACCTCAGGCGTGCTTCACCGTTGCTTTCTCAGCCTCTTCACCCGTGTTTTTGCATGCGTCAGGCCAGCCCCCGGGATTTGTGACCGTGGGTGGCAACCCACTCACATAATCAAATGATCGATCAAACCCAGTAGAAAGCGGCTCACGTCTGTGAGCAAGATGTTTGTACTTGCTTGGAGCCGAGCCATTTCCTGAGCTTGCGTAAGCTTGTGATGAATCCAGAATATCATATCTTGCAATACGGAGCGCGAATATATTCAATCTCTTCTCCTTCATGTTATCCTTGCCAATTTGATCCAGCGCGGAGCGCATTTGAGTTTCCCAACGCTTGAGGCAATAGGGGACGCAAACAGCGAAACACCAAGCAACTGAAACAGGTTTGCCTTACCGATGCATCCACGAACCACCTACTTCCCCCTCCCTTCCCCTCCCCCTCCCCTTCCCTCCCCTTCCCTCCCCCGCCCTCCCCCTCCCTCCCCCTCCCTCCTCTCCCCCTCCCTCCTCTCTCCCTCCCTCCTCTCCCCCCCCCCACGCAAAAAAACCAAACAAAAACGACAAGACAACACCAAACCGGGCTCTGATTACTTCGTTGCCGCGGAGCTGGCACGCTCATGGCGGGGAAGCCGCACAAGTTCGCCAGGAAGATGTACTTCATCATCCTTTGAGTAATAATCAAAACACCTGGTACTAAAATGGCCGACCCAGAGCCTGAAACTAAGTATTCATCTGTATCAATTAACTGGTTCCTAAGTATTGTGTATGAATTATGTTTCAAGAACAACTCAAACTTTCTGCAGCATAGTTGGTGGACATATCAAAGCAAAATCCAATTCAAAACAACCCACCACAACTTAAACTCTTCATGTCTATCAATTATGGCTCAAGTGTTAGTGTGTATCAATTCCAATCAGGTTTGATATAATTTTATACCGATAAGTCATAATCAAAACACCTGGTATTAAAATGGTCGACCCAGAACCATGCTTCAAGAATTGAGAAGGCGAATCTCCGCAGCTGTTGGTTGGGCTCGTCCCTTGCCAACCTTCACTTACCCGGGGTTGGATTGTGACTCACTTGCCCCCTTGGGGGCAAGTAGAAGAAAAGAGCTACCCTCCCGCCCACTAACCCCATGGAACCCACCTCTTCAGGGAGGCCAGTCGTCTAGGACTGCCGGACTGTCAGGCTCCATGTTCTTGCGAGGGTAGGCTTTTAAGGAACCTTGACAAAAGATAGACACCACAGATATTGAGATTCCTGACAGGCGGCTCAGGTTTTGCGACCAGACCGGGGAACCGCAAAAGGATCAAAAGGTCGGATTCGCATGGGATGCGACTCGAAGCGTCTGCAAGATCAGCGCGGAGTCGCTCTCTCCAGCGTCTTTGGCGCCCGGGGGCATGGCCGGTGGCATGACTCCTCCAGAGCATCGCCACCGCTTTCGGATCTGCGAGTCCCCAACTTCCAGTGGAAGCTACCGCTAGACCAACTAAGCTAGCAGCTCGAAGGAAGGGGCAGTCCGGAAAAGTGGTTTAGCACATGCTCAATCCGTCCATCTCCTGAGAAGAGAAAAAAGAAACCTCAAGGCAGCAAACTTGGCACAAACATATGGCGGGGGGTCAAAAATAGGTACCCAGAATGGAACCCTGGTAAGAGGAAACATGGACTACAATCTGCGGTCCAATTCCTGGTGGTTTAGTTTTGACCCACACCCATATGGGGCACTCCAAACATATTCTCTGGCTCGGCCTGTTCAGGCAAGCCGGGACAGTGGGCCACTGCTTGGGCTTCCCAAACCAAAAGCTGGGTTTCCGTGTCTCGAGGAGCCTCCTTTTTTGGCAGGGCCATCTATTCTTTTGCCAAAACAGCCAAAAAGGACACCTATGCCTCTGACTGGTGGTCGCTTTGCCCAGAAGTTGCACAAAACGGACCATCATCATGTCCTAGCACGGCTGGGAAATATCCCATTTCGTGACAAACAACAGTCTGAGCAGTCCCCAGATTGTACGGCGTCACTTTAAATGTGGGTAACAGTCAGCATACCCAACCAATACGCACGGATAGAAAACATTTGGCGATATTTTCGGAAGTTGGTGGCCCGAAATTGTGGCAAGTATAAACCAATGGGTTTGTCTCAAAACTGGGGAGGTACCGAAAGTGGGGCGGTTCCCTCTTGCTTCCCCTCTAAACCAACCCCCCAAAAAATACCCTTGAACACGACACACCCAATTTTCCACAAAGCGTCCTAGAGTTGGCGAAACGATGGCCGAAATCTTCTGCTCTTTGAAGATCGTCCGGATATGATTGAGCGCCCAACCTGAGCCCGCTTCCAATGGACAAACTCGTGGCCCCAAAAATCCAAGCGCCAGCAAAAAGACAGGCTTAAAGGATTCGAATAGGGTTGCGGGGTACTTTGAAACCAACACTTGATCATGATCATGTCATGTACTCACTTCAGCCCCCGTTCTCCAACACCAATCTGTCCACTTCCACTAAAAGGGGCAGCGCGCCTGAAAGGAGTCTTGGCTGTGCAACGTTGAGCGCAATATTCACGACCCCCCAAAACAGGCCCTGGCAATGAACATAGTTTGTCCCAAACATTTTTTTCTGAAACATGGGAGACCTGCAATAATACTTGCGGGGCCAATTGCTATCTCAGTTGTTCAGTGACCCTGGAAAAAAAGGAACCCTTTTTGGGGAACACAATTTTTAGTGGGGCAGCCACCAAAAAAAAGCGAAACAGGGTGCCACTGAACAACTGAGCTATTGAGCTGTACATGGCCAGCTTCTTGAGGCACAGTTCGCCCTTTATGATGTCGCGAAAATTCGACCAGCAAAAGGGCTGAGCCCGCCAGGAAATCCAACGATGTATGGGTATAGGTCAAAAATAAACCACCAGGGGAACGCATTTTTTTGTCTTTGGTTCCATTGTCCAGGTTCCTTTCAATCATGGCCTGCAAGTCCGAAAGCTGGGAAGCAGGCTGAATTGAAATTCCAGGTGGTACAAATCAGGCAATGCCTGGCAACTTCTGAGCAAACAGATGGGGTCTGAGCATCTCGCATTTGTCATCCGCGCCATCGTCAAACCTCCTTAAGTATGTGGTGGTCATGATGCCCTTAGGAACCTTTACTTCTAGAGAGGGCTACGCTGTGGGCCCGAGTGTTTTCCATATGAAATGGTGGTTTTTCCAGGACGTACCCTTCTGTACTTCTAGAACCAAGAGGAAGATGCCCATCCCGACCCCAGCAAAGGGGTGGTCGTCAGATTCTAACTCAGAGCCATAGTACTGTCGGGCCAGCTTTTATCGCTGGGGTCCCCTTTTGTAGAAAGTGTTTTCCTAATTCAGACTCCTTTGACTATTTTGGGGTGCGCTTTCGTAAAAAGCCTCCGCCTTTTGCTTTAAGGGGTGGTTTATCTGAGCCCTTCACGCTAAAGGCCTTAGGATGTCCTTTTTTGAGGTGGCCCCCAACCATTGATTTTTGTAGAACTTCTTACCACAAGAGCAAGACCAAACAGACACACCAAAGTCCCGGCAAAAGCCCCTGATCGTGTTTCTGACTATTTTGGGGCTTTATTGTTGGTGCACGTGTGTGAGACATTCCTAGATCAAAGCCTTCGCAATTTCATTTCTTTTGAAGGCGGTCTAAGATGTGTAAAGCTGAGAGTCAGTCTTGGCAATGCTAAGCTTAGAATTGGCAATGATTTCTTTAAGTATTCGCGAGTCCAAGTTCAACCGAGGGCCTTGTCCCACCAAAGAGGCACCAACTGACTGCCACTTTTGAATGCCCAAGGCTTGAAAATTCCCATGGCCTTCTCCATAGCTCGAACGAACGAACGAATCCGGGTCTCTGCGCACAAATTGTGCGCGACCTTTAGGGAGTTTGGGGGTGGCCCAAAAAAAAGAAGGCACAGCAACAACTTGTGTATAGCTCCCTGACTACGGATCGCCAAATGACTGCCACTTTTGGGTGACCCAAGGCCCGAAAAAAATCCCAAAATTGGCCCAGTGGCCGCGCATGATGTTGGCAGATTGCACCTCCACCCCGGAGAAGGACACGCCCAGGCCAAATTGGATCCGGGTGGAGGGCTCCAGCTGGTGCTGGTTGTGCATCAGGTGCCCTACGTTCTCAGCTGCCCAGCTCGGACCCAAAACTAAAAGGTGATCACCTTTTGGCACCTCCACTCAAAATGGGCCAAAATGGGAAAACCAAAAGGTCAAAAGG